CCAAAGTTGATCGGAAATTACCGACCAACTTTGGTCAGTCAATTAAATTCAAAAAAAATAATTGCTGAAAAAAAGTTATTTTATAACGCTACTAATATATCTTGAAAATTAAAGTTCAAAAAAAAAATTAAATATACGAATATATTATAAAAATAATAATAGAATACATAGTTAAAAATATTTATATAGTATATAATATAGAAGGTATTACATAAATATGAAGGTTTATATAATATCAAGGGCATAATAGACTTTTCAAGTAAAATGTGACTTTTGTGATAATTAGAGCAAAGTAAAATGATTTTTGTGTAACAAAAGAAAGAAAGTGACTTTTGTGTAATGAACACAAAGTTGAATGATTTTTGCGTAATAAAAAAAAGAAAAGTGAATTTTGGGTAACAAACACAAAAGTTCAATGACTATGGATAAAATTATCTCAAGTTATATATCCCTTACAAAAGGTAATACTATTGTAGTATAATTTAGAGTTAATACCTTAAAACCCACTAAACTATTAAGTTTATGTCAGTTTCTTACTTAAATTATTCGGTGTTCCCAAAACCCCCTGAACTATAATGCCCTTCATATTAAAACTGCCTCATTACATTCTTAGAGGTGCATCTAGTACGCTCTCCTAATTGTCTAAAAAACGTGCCATGTTGTGATGACCCTTTGGGTCATCACTTGCTTTTAAATAAAATTTTGTGTTTCTGAGGTCTTGAAAACCTCATTTAGAGTCACCTTGATTCACGTGCGCAGTCCGGGGGCGTAGCCGGAAAGCTTAAATATGAAAATCTGTGGAAAATGATAAAATTTGGCTAATAAATGAATTAATTTGACTTCGGTCAACTTTTTGGGTAAACGGACCCGAACCCGTAAATTGACGGTCCCGGAGGGTCCGTAGGAAAATACGGGGCTTGGGCGTATGCCCGGAATCGAATTCCGAGGTCCCAAGCCCGAGAAATGAATTTTTGAAGAAAATTATTTTCTGAAATTGTTTAAAGTATTTTGATATAAAATTTGATTAGAACATGATGGTATCGGGCCCGTATTTTGGTTCCGGCGCCCGGCACAGGTCTTATATATGATTTAAGACGTTTCCGTAGAATTTGGTGAAAAACGGATGTCATTTGACGTGATTCGGACCTAAATTGCAAAAGTTGATGTTTTATGAAGTTTGAGAAAAATTCTTTGATTTTGAGGCTTAATTCGTTGTTATTGAGGTTATTTTGGCGATTTAATCGCACGGATAAGTTCGTATGATGTCATTGAGTTAGTGTGTATGTTTGGTTAGGAGCCCTGAGGGCTCGGGTGTGTTTCGGATGTGTTTTGGAAGGTTTTTGAACTTAAGAATGTTGCAGATTTTGCTGTTCATTGCATAGGGAATTTGTTCTTCGCGTTCGCGTGGTCCCGCTCGCGAACGCGTAAGGCAAAAATCCTAAGTGCCAGTTTTCTTCTTCGCGAACGCGAAGCCTGAGACGCGAACGCGAGGCTGAGGGGGGAGTACCCTTCGCGAACGCGTCCAGGTACTCGCGAACACGTAAGGCAATGGGCCTGGGGAGGGAGTTCTCATTTATTCTACGTGAACGCGGCCACTGGCCCGCGAATGCGAGGGCTCGAGGGGCTAAAGCTCCGCGAACGCGAGCCCAATGTCGCGAACGCGAAGGTCTTCAGGCCTGACTCATCGCGAACGCGATGAGCCTGTTGCGAACGCGAAGGGTAATTTCGCCCAGTTATTTTTAAGTCTCAAAAACAGAACACTTACGGGATTTTCATAAACTTTCAAAAACCTCTTCTTCTCCAAAGCTCTTAGGCGATTTTTGAAGCATTTCCTCACCATAATCTCTTGGGTAAGTAATCTTTAACTTGTTTTCTTCCATTTTGATCAACACCCACTAGATTTCTAGGCCTAAAACATGTGATTAAGGGTAGAAATTAGGGATATAGGTAGAGTTAGGGCTTTTTATATATTTATGATTTAGACCTTGTTTTGGGGTCAAATTTTGGAACAAATTATATATTCGGGCTCATGGGTGAATGGGTGATTGGATTTTGGTCCGAACCTCGTGTTTCGATCAAGCGGGCCCGGGGTCAATTTTTGAATTTTTGGGAAGAATGATTAAAAAGCTATAATTAAGCATTGGAATTGGATTGTTTAACATTTATTGATGTTATTAAGTCGATTATGTATAAATACGATTGTGTTGGAGCCAAATTTGAAAGGAAAGGCGGTATTTGAGGATTGAGTTGGCCATGGAAGTTCGAGGTAAGTGTTCGGTCTAACCTTAGCTTGAGGGATTAGGAGTTGTGTCCTATTTGCTAATTGCTTCTTGTTGATTACGACGTATAGGCATGGTGACGAGTATCTATACGTTGGTGTCGAGCATGACCGTGAGTCCTGAATTGATAGATGTTGTGTTCCTAAATGTTACTACGGATACTTTAATTGATGATTCTCGATATTGAGCAAAGATTTAGTTTATTTTCGTGGATTTTATTTATGATTGAGTGTTGGTACTAATTGAGCTGAGTAGGAGTTGAGTTAGGATTGGTTATAACTGACTCTCCCTTGCCGGGATATTTGTCTTGATATTGTTGTTCCCTTGCCGGGAAGTTATTATATTGCTTTTGTTCCCTTGCCGGGATTCCTTGTGATTTTGTGTTGGCTTGTAAATGGGAGCGAGTGGTACGCCTACCACAAGATATAATGAAATGGGAGCGGGTGGTACGCCTACCACGAGATATAATGAAATGGGATCGGGTGGTACGCCTACCACGAGATATAATGAAATGGGATCGGGTGGTACGCCTACCACGAGATTTAATGAAATGGGAGCGGGCGGTACGCCTACTACACGATATAATGAAATGGAAGCAGGTGGTACGTCTACCACGAGATATAATAAAATGGGAGCGGGTGGTACGCCTACCACAAGATATGAGAAATGGGATCGGGTTGCACGCCTACAACGAGATGTGAACCGAGAGTGAAATCTGCCTTTGTTTTCCTTACCCTTGTTAGAAGTTGAATTTTGGTTTCCTGATAATTCTCTTGAGATTTTGTTTTATCTGTTATTCCCCGAAGCATGTTTCCCCTTCCTGGCTTTAATTGTTTGTCCTAGTTTAACTGCACAGGTTTATCTGGAGTCTGGTCCTAGCCTCGTCACTACCTCGCCGGGGTTAGGCCAGGCACTTACCAGCACATGGGGTCGGTTGTGCTGATGCTACACTCTGCACTCTGTGCAGATACTGGAGCAGCATTGGGACAGTAGCTTGGGAGCCAGCCTTCAGTCCATAGAGATTCCGAGGTAGTCCTGCAGGCGTCCGCAGGCCCGGCGTCTCTTCTATCTACTATTATGTTCTGTTATCACTTGTATCCGAGACAGACTGAGTTTCTTTCTTTCAGACATTTGTATGTAGTAATCATAGACAGTCCGTGAATGTTGTGACACCGGTTTCTGCATAGAGACATATTTTGGCCATTCGTATCGATTTTGGTATTATATTTGTCTAAGTCTTCCGGTTAATTTTCGTCTTCTGCTATTATTTTACTGTTTGTCACCTGTTACTACAAGTAGTTAAAAGTGTTAAAAATGAAAAGGTTAAAGATTTCTAAATGTCGTGGCTTGCCTAGCTTCTACGAGTAGGCGCCATCACGACTCCCGAGGGTGGGAAATCCGGGTCGTGACACATGTAGCACTACACGTGACTATTTAACTCAGCCTAAAACCCGCCTAAACTATCACTTTTTACCTATTTAAACTATCTGGTATCCCCAAAATCCCCCTTAACTATATTCCCCTATATATTGAAACCTCATGTTGGACTTTTAAAGGTATGTCTGTCTAACTATATTAACTTATGGTTTGTACAAATTTTTTATATAGTTTACACATGATGTATTACTCTCGAATAATTGATTAATTCTGGGAGTTTTGGCCAATTTAATTTTAGGTTTAATTGTGATTGTGCTTTATGGTAGACTCCAATTCATAAATTCTTATTTATATTCACTTTGTAGCACAACTAAAATATAAATATAGCTATATAGTGTTATATTTCTTAAAAGTCATCATATATTATATAAAAAGATTACACAGAATAAAATTTCGCAAATAAAAAATCAATTGTCCAGCAATTTCATTCTCTAATTCTAGATTACATAAAGAAGGTTCAAGAGATTCAACTTTATTTTTTACGAGGAGTTGAGTCTAATAAGAAGATTTAAATTGGTATTCTTTCAACAATATGTGTAAGACGTGAAAGAAGACTAAAACAAAAAAGATGATAGATAATTTCAGAGGAAACAAGAGAGGGAGAAATTTTCCAGAGGAAATCCATATGGAGAACCGAAGAAAAAAAGGTTAAAAGATGAAGAAGAAGGTGAAAAACAAAGAAGAAAGGTGAAAAAATAAGGAAGAATGGTGAAAAATGAGGAAGAAAGATGAATATAACTTAAATAAGGAGAATATTTATTAAAGAAATAAATCTGAAAGAGAGTTAGACTAATTAGCCATTATTTTCTGTTAGGTGACCATTTTGATAACTTTTTCAGCTACCACGCGCTCGCAAGTGAGTATTTACACATGTTATGCCAGGTCAGCGATGAAGGGGTTTTAATACGAGCGATAATATAGTTCAAGGGGGTTTTGGGGACACCGAATAGTTTAAGTAGCAAAATAACAAAAATATGATAGTCTAAGAGGTTTTAGGGTATTAACTCTACATTTTATATATATTCCGCTTGACAATGAAATAATAGCTGTTATTTGCACTAATAATAATTACAATAAGCTATTGTCACATAATTGCTATATTATTAAATCACAGACCATTTCATTTATACCACGACTTCCAATTCTGATAATATTTACTAGTATTAATGTTAAACTAATTGCAATCATTTGCACTAACGTGATAGCGTAAATGCCTTACTCAGTAATGGCTAGACAAAGGCTCACGTGGTTCTTTGTTTGGGACATGTATAAATATTGAGCACATGGTTCATACTTTTGATATACGAAAACATTAATTAGTTCATGATTTAACCAAAAAAAAAAAAAAACTTGAAAAAACAGGAAAAAGAATTATGTGTTCATTGCCCAATGAGAGCTTCAGCATTGAGCTGCAGCAGCTTGATGCTGATGATGTTAGTGGGAGAAAACAGAGAACTGAGTGGCTGCTGAATTCTCCAGCCCAACCTAGTTTTTGCAATGAACTCATCAACTCTGTTACTGAAACTGTTTTGCCACAAAAAAACTCAAAGCAATATGGAGGCGGAGCTGTCTTTTCATTTTTGCAAGGCTTATTTCCAATCCTTAGTTGGGGAAGGAATTATAAAGCTAATATGTTCAAGCATGACTTATTGGCTGGCTTAACTCTTGCTAGTCTCTGTATTCCTCAGGTATACCAAATAAAGATTACGTTACGAACACACTTTTAATTACTCAATTATGTTTTCAATACGTCCACTCACGTATGAGCCTTACTTGCTCTGATACCATGTTGAATCTTGCGACCATCGCTTAATATTTTTAGATGAGATGGTCAAACAATTTAACACGAGTATCTGTTCTTTGAAATGTTGAATTTATAAAGGAAAACTTATTGCAGAGTATAGGATATGCTAATCTTGCAAACCTTGCTCCTCAATATGGCTTATGTAAGTTCCAAATCCAATTTTAACTTTTATTCATCTCTTTTTTATTTGTTTCTTTAGCTTATATCTTTCAAGTTCATTATTTTAGACACTAGTGTTGTTCCACCATTGATATATGCTGTTATGGGAAGTTCGCGAGAGCTGGCTATTGGTCCTGTTGCTGTTGTATCTCTACTGCTTTCTGCAATGATAACCGAAATCGTAGATCCTGCAGTTGATCCTATTGCTTATACGAGCCTTGTTTTTACTGTCACTTTCTTTGCTGGTACATTCCAAACTGCATTTGGCCTATTAAGGTTAGTAGTTTTCTTTTACAAGTAGTGGCTCTATCCTTTTTAGGTTCTCCTTGTTTGTTAATATTGATGTAATGTGCAGATTGGGTTTTCTTGTGGATTTTCTTTCACATGCTGCAATAGTGGGATTCATGGGAGGTGCAGCTATTGTAATTGGTCTTCAACAATTAAAGGGTCTCATAGGAATTAATCATTTTACTACAAAAACTGATGTGATGTCTGTATTTAAAGCTGTTTTCACATCATTTCATAACGAGACAGTAAGCACTTTTTTCTAATGGGAAATCTATTTCTGTTTTCTCATCTTATTCTGTGCTTACTTATTTCTATTGGACTTGTTTCAGTTGTCTCCTCTTAATTTTGTACTTGGCTGTTCATTCCTCATCTTCATCCTAGCAACCAGATTTTTAGTAAGTAATAAGGTGTACTCATTTGTCATATTTTGGTGATTTTTCCTGTTTCATTCATTAATATATTGGCCACCTGAAATACTACTGCAGGGAAAAAGGAATAAGAAACTATTTTGGCTACCAGCTATTGCTCCTTTGTTATCAGTGATATTATCCACTTTAATGGTTTATTTAACAAAGGCTGATCAACATGGAGTCAAAATTGTAAAACACTTTAAAGGGGGTTTGAATCCAAGCTCAGTTCATCAATTACAGTTCAATGGTCCACACCTTGGAGAAGTGGCGAAAATTGGACTAATATGTGCTCTCGTGGCGCTAACTGTCAGTATCATACTCTTTGTTATCTCTTTTTGCATTTACTAAAAGTCACTAAATTGGGAGGATTCTTAAAGTGGAATGCTCTTGATTTTCCTCAGGAAGCCATTGCTGTCGGCCGATCTTTCGCTTCAATGAAAGGCTATCATCTTGATGGGAACAAAGAAATGGTAGCCATGGGTTTCATGAACATTGTGGGGTCTTTATCTTCTTGCTATACAGCAACTGGTGAACTCTCAATTCTTTTTTATGTTCAAAATCTTGAATATTGTCATACAAATTCTGATATAGTAATAAGTTATGCTAATAATTGTTACAGGTTCATTTTCAAGGACAGCTGTGAATTTCAGTGCAGGATGTGAAACTGTGGTGTCAAACATAGTTATGGCTATCACAGTTTTCATATCCCTGGAATTGCTAACTAAACTTTTATACTACACTCCACTAGCTATCCTTGCATCGGTTATCTTATCCGCGCTTCCTGGATTGATTGACATAAATGAAGCTTATCATATCTGGAAAGTGGACAAGATGGACTTCCTTGTTTGCATTGGTGCCTTCTTTGGAGTCCTGTTTGTATCTGTCGAAATTGGTCTTCTAGTCGCGGTAATTCAAATATTATCTCTTGAGTTTACTGTATCACAAGCTTTTTAGCATGTCAAACTATAAACAAGAATACATTCACTCATAAGTATATAAGAATACAACTTGCATTAAAGAAAAATTATGTACTTGTCCCCTCAAACAAACATCTTGTGACTCACATAATTACATAATACCACATGAAATGCCAGAAAATGGATAGCCTGTGAGTCATTTGTGGGTTCCATGCTATAATGGAATTTTGGCTCTATCATTGGCTCTTGTCCTTTAAAAATAGAAGACTCATGTCAACTCTGGTCATCTGTCTTTTTCTTTGCAACTTGTAACTAGACATCACCTGCAAGATTACAACATTGCATATGCTTTGTACATGAAGTAGTCAGATTCAAGTACTACTTATCCCATACTATGTAGGTCAGAAGTAAAAATCTATCTTTGGTTTTGACTAAATAAGGTTTCTTGATTTAGGAGAGACCAATATTTTCCAGTTTTCATATCCATAGTCATGTAACAATTCGAATTCATATTAAGATACTTCCTCCGTTTCAAATTAAATGAGTTAGTTTGACTCGGCACGGAGTTTAAGGAAAAAAAAGAAAGGCTTTTGAAATTTGTGGTATTAAAAGCTTAAGGGGTAAAGCTTTGTGGGGCCATGACTTTTGTGTGATTATAAAAGCTTCTCATTAAGGATAAAATGGGTAAAATGAGGAGTTTAAAGTTGAATTATTTCCAAATTTAGAAATGTGTCATTTATTTTGGAACAGACTAAAAAGGAAAGTACTCATAGTAAATATAGAAACAACTAGTCAAGTAAACTAGAAACTGAAATAGTAAAAATAATATTCCTTAGAAAATTAAAGCACAAATACTTAGTCGATAGTATTTGTTAGTAATGTCTATTTGGTCTATTGCAGGTTAGCATATCATTTGCTAGAATAATACTGGACACAATTCGAGCAAGTACAGAAGTGCAAGGAAGACTTCCTGGGACGACAGACACCTTCTGCGATATTACTCAATATCCAGGAGCCACTAGAACTTCAGGCATCTTGATCATTCGAATCAACTCTGGTTCACTTTGCTTTGCAAATGCTACTTCCATAAGAGAAAGGTATAAATAATTAACTTGAACACTTTTGGAGGTGGAAATTAAGGAAATAGGAAAGAAATAAAGTTCAAGCCTAATTACTTGTTCACCTTCTTTTATTTCCAGGATGCTGAAATTGGTGACAGAAGCAAATGGTAGTGAGGAGAACACAAAGGAAAATGTTCATTTTTTAGTTCTGGACATGTCCAGTAAGTTTCATCACTAGTAGAATTTCCAAATACTTGTCTTCTTGTTTCTTCTATTTTTTACCTCAGTTGTTGTAACTACTAATAATATCTTGAACTCATTGGTTTGCGCGCAGATGTAATGAGTTTGGATACATCAGGAATAGCGGTGTTAGAAGAGCTGCACAGAGAACTGGTTTCACGAACCATACAAGTAAGGCGACCAAGGATTTATCTTATATACACTGACACAAAGAAAAATTCTTACACTATCATTATAATTTACAGGGACATGTCCAATTAACAAGTTATGGAAGTGGCTTAGACTATGTATATATATTTTAAAAAACCATTAAATATGTACAACTAATAGATTTTGAACCTAGTGAATTAAATGGAAGTGGTAGAATTACTAATCTGAACTCATAAAGTTCAAATCCTAAATTCACATCTATAACAGGTTACCTGCAATTACCCGTTTATACTAAGGGTCATGATGTTTTTCTTTCCTTTCTTTTTGCAGTTAGCAATAGGAAACCCAAGGTTAAGAGTCATTAACAAAATGAAGACAGCAAAATGTTTCGAGAAACTAGGAAAAGGATGGATTTTCCTTACTATTGGGGATGCTATAGATGCCTGCTTGAGTCTCAAAATAGCTGATCCTAGCTCTATCAATTGTTGAAATTTTATGTTTTTCAATTTTCATGTTTCATGTGTATACAAATCACAAAGCATTAAGAGCAAAGATATGGAGCCTTGTGCATTTCGTGATATTTGTAAAGTTGATAAAACACAATCTTGAAAGATTATATCATGCAAGTATAGTTAAACCGAAGAACAAGAGGAAGAATTAATCATGGGATGGGCAAAAGAGATTTTCATTTTTCTGAAATAAGTTTTTCAAAAAACTAACGCAACACACACACACAATAACCCTAAGAAAATTTAAAAACAAACTAAACTAAAATGAAATCCAAACCGATAAAATCAACGCTTTTTATCAGATTTAACATCTCCATCCAAGCTCGTGATTTGCTATTTGTAAAATAGATATATCAGTAAATAAAGATGTTTTTCAACGTTTGGTATTTGTTAGCTACAGGATCTAAACTAAAATCATCATTATTCATCCCTATACTTCCTCCATTCCACTTTTGAGTTGATTTTATTTATTAATTTGACAAATTTTTTGATGACACATTGTCCCTTAACTCCTGAATCACTTCTTTTACATTTTTCAATCATTTATCCAAGTCAAAAAAACAATTATGCATGTTTTTTAATTAGAATAAAAGTAAAAATAATTAAAATTTTGATCTGCAAACATTAAAACATTTACAATAACTTTATAGTCAATTTTATAAACTTGACCATCAAAATCAATTTAGGGTTGTTAAATTAGAAGAGGGCGTGTAATTTCAAAATCAAAAGAATTACATTGGGGATTTGGTATTAAAACGACGACGTCCGAAGCTTTCAGGAGACGATATAAATAGGCCGACCCGTTCGTTCTCCAGACCATAGATAGAAGAAAAGAATTGATCTTCAGTTGGAGAACAAAAGAAAATGGGGGAAGAAACAGAAGAGCGTCAACAAGAATCAATTCCAAACCCTACTCCAAATCGCATTACAGCAGCCCAATTTCTCAACTGGAAGCGCCAAAAGGTTACCTCTTTCTTCCCTCCATTGTTCTCTTCTGTTCAATTTTTACTATTATGGGAATGTCACTTGAGTTAACTGTGCAATATCTATTATCAGGTGATTATATTAGGGTTTGTTTTTTTCCAAGTGTGTATTTGAGCTTATTCAAATTATGTAGCAATTCCTGTATACTGTTGTTTTTTCCTTTCAATAAGAAAAAGAAATAATCTTGCACCCATGGGTGTGGCCTGGGTTAATATAATGACAGAGAACATCTGGTTCAAATCTTAGTGGAGGCAAAAATACTGGGTGATTTCTTTCCATCTGCCTAAGCGTTGATGGGGAAAGTTACCGGCATCTGTACCAGGTATCCAGTGGAATAGTCAAGGTGCTCGCAAGTTGGCCCAAACACCACCATCATTCAATAAATAAATAAATGAATAAATAAATAAATAATCTTTGTGGTAACTAGTACTGTTGAATTATGAGAAGCTAAAATTGTTAAAAACTAGGTCATTACACAGACCATAGAGGCCTAATCCTATTAAATCTAAGACGAAAAAAGAGGGTATATCCATTTGAAAATTTAAAATATTTCAAGCTTAAAAAAGTAGGGCATAAAGCCAAAGTGTTTTGCTGCATGTCGGTTTCAAGCTTTACACTTGTGGCCCTGGACCTTTTCCTTTCATTCCGACGCGACATGCGAGACTCTAGGCGACTTTTGGTTCTTTCTTCGGCAACCTATGTTGCTCGGATCCAAAAATGTAGCCATACCCATGGTAGTTCTTCAAAAAGTGAAAGTCGAATCCCAGCACTGGCCGATAAAGTCGAGTTGTAACTAATAAACCTAGAATATTTAATCAGTTAACAAGTCATAATTATCCAAATATCATTGCTTATTTTAACTTAATGAAATCAAAGTCGGCTTAATTTACATTGTTGACCTTGACTGTTGTCCAATAATATATAGTTATTTTTCAACAATCTTAAATTAGGGTCGGTACTCAGCCCTCTTTTGTTTGCCCTGGCGATGGACGTTCTGACACGCCACATCCAAGGAGAGGTTCTGTGGTGCATGTTATTTGCAGAAGATATTGTATTGATTGACGAGACGCGAGGCGGTGTGAACACGAGGTTAGAGGTGTGGAGGCATCCCTGGAGTCTAAAGGTTTCAAGCTAAGTAGGACCTAGACAGAATACTTGGAGTGTAAGTTCAGTGGTGAGACTCAAGAAGGGGAAGGGGAGGTGAGGCTAGACTCGCAAGCCATCCCTAGGAGGGGAAGTTTTAAGTACCTTGGGTTTATTATTCAGGGGGATGGGGAGATTGATGAAGATATCACCCATCGTATTGGGGCAGGATGGATGAAATAGAGACTCGCTTCTAATGTTGTGTGTGACAAGAAGGTGCCACCAAAACTTAAAGGTAAGTTCTACAGAGTGGTGATAAAACCGACTATGTTGTATGGGGCTGAGTGTTGGCGTGTCAAGATCACCCATGTCTAGAAGATGAAGGTAGCAGAGATGAGGATGTTGAGATGGATGTGCGGGCACACCAGGTTAGATAGGATTAGGAATGAGGTTATTCGCGACAAGGTGGATGTTGCCCCCACTGAGGACAAGATGCGGGAAGCGAGGCTTAGGTGGTTTGGACATGTGAGGAGGAGGAGCACAGATGCCCCTGGGAGGAGGTGTGAGAAGTTGACATTAGAGGACCTACGGAGAGGTAGGTCGGAGAGGTAGGTCGAAGAAGAAGTGGGAAGAGGTGATTAGGCAAGACATGACGCAGCTTCAGCTGACCGAGGACATGACCCTTAATAGGAAGGTGTGGAGGTCGAGGATTACGGTAGCAGGGTAGGTGGTAGATTGTTCATACCAGTAGGATTAGTATGCACTCTCGCATTCTGTTGGTAGTAGGTTTCTATGACTACCCGTCATTTTCTTTCATTTTGATCATCTTATTATCGTGTTGTTTTTATGCTGCTTTTACATGCCTTTTTGGTGTTGTCCCTCATTGTCTATCTTTTAATTAATGTGGTGCTTATGTTTTCCTAAGCTGAGGGTCTATTGGAAACAGCATTTCTACCTTCACAAGGTAGGAGTAAGGTCTGTGTACACACTACCCTCCCCATACCCACGATGTGGGATAATACTGGGTATGTTGTTGTTTGTAATCTTAAATTACTAATTATCATGTATACTATCCTTTGGATTTATTCGTTTTTCCTAGCATTTGTACAGCTGTACAGTACTCCGATCAGTACTCCCAAATCCTAAACTTATGTAATGATGAATCTGACCTCTAGACCAGCACGAGTGTCAATCACATGCACTGCATCAAAGCAACATAGTCGGTAGCTCGCAGGCGAAAAGCTTGTCAAACTCTTTTTCCCTCCCTACTTCCCCAACATCTTCATCAAGAGCCTTCTATTTAGCCTTTCCCATAAGGCTTTACTTCCCTGCTTAAGTTGACCTCATTGTTGTACTGGGGGAGTTCAACTATGATATCACACTATAACAAACAGTATTGTCTTCATTGACCTAATGAGTTTTAAGGATTTGTCGGTTGGACTTATTGCTTAGTCAGTAAGTCAAAAAGGCTCATGTGGATTCCCATGGGGACTCTATGCGATATCTGGGTTAACCTTTCTTCCATTGCTTATGAGGAGGAGCTTGCTAAACCTTTTGTTTCAGCCATCTTCACCCAATCGCTTCTTCAATACTGTCACACTTATCGGCCTAGTGATACTTTTTTTTTTATCAGGTAAGATAACTTTTATTAAGAAACTTCAAAAAAGTACCAAGGGGGTACTTTCAAAGTACAAGCAAAACATCATACGATAACAATTACAAATGAAGTTTCTACAATTCCATAAATTCTGATTGTTGCACCAAGTCTTCTACTACCCTTTCCTTACACCAAAAATATAGATTCTGCAAGCAACTATTTTTCAGCGTAGGAATCTGGGTCCTCTGATCTTCAAACTATTTATCGGCCTAGTGATACTAACATGGTTCTACTACTCTTCTTCAAATTTGGTTATGTAAGTGTTCATATAAATAGATGAAAACCATTAGAAGTGTTTTGGGGACAATCACTGATAGTTGCAACACTGAATTGTAGCCTATTTTCATTTGCTAGGTAAATTGTTTCTCTTCTATCTAGGTGCAGAAGTATAACAAAGAAAGAAGGACCTAAACCGGAATATTTAGTGAACGGGAAGAAAATTAATAGGGAAGTTTTAAACACTTTCATCATGCTAAACTCTTCAATCAATTATGTAACACTCCTCAAATCTATAAAAATTTCAAGACACGCTAATTATAGAATTTAATTTTTATAATCTTAAATTATACTTCTATTACGGATTAAGCCCTTGTGATTGATTTCTGAGTTACTTCTCTATTTATAAATAATTAATATATAATTAGGAGAATATTAATAATTTTAATATAATTAATTAGTAAAAGTAGGTATCATTAATTATTAGTTAAGTGAAAACAAAACAAGAATAATAATAATAATAATAATAATAAAAAAACATAGAAAAAAAAACAAAGGCCTAAAGCCTTGGAAATGGTAAGAAACAATACAGAACAATTGTGTTGTTCTGTTTAGTCACGGCACAAAAGAGAAAAGGCTTAAAAGCCTTAAAAGCCTTATAAAGCAATACAAAACAGTCACGACACAAAACGTAGAAAACGCAGCCTTACGAACGATAGCAGCTAGAAAATTCTCACGCACGAAAAATTCTAGGGTTCTTCACAACTCACTTATTCTTGAACTCAGGTATGTAAAACCCTTTATTATCAATTACCCTACAGTGGTAATTGGTAAGAAGTGAATGGTTAATTCTCTTCTTCCTCTATAGCAACAATAATTCCCATGTTTAGGTGTGAAACATTAATTAAAATGCACTGGTTGTTGTAGAATCGATTGTTTGACGGGTATAAATTGGACTGGGGTCTACATATTGGCTAAACGAGTTTTGAGGTGAGTTGATATAACCCTTTACTAAAGTGGTTTAACTCACAAAAACACGCACACAAGGTGTTTGATGAATTGCATAAAAGAGTTAATATATACTTAATTGGAGTAGTAAGTACCTATTAGCTTAGAATTATTTTCTAACTA